TATAAATTTCTAGAATGTTCCATTACCTTCTATTGCCTCCTACAGTGTTCTATTACCTATTCAACCAGTTTCTAAAAAAAATCTAGAATATTTCACCCAGACACAGTACGGTTCTAGAACATTCTCAGTGACACGGAAGTGGTAAATAAGTCGTATGCGACACTGGCATTCATTTTGTTTTCAAATTTGATAAATTCTTAGATTTAAACGTGCCTGGAACTGTTTCTCGGGGTTTCTCGCAGGGTGATTTCAACCAAACTTTGTATGGTGAACATGCATATTGCGTTATAGACGCACGCACGTTTTGTTTCGAGATTCGGTTCAAGATGGCCGACTAGCGGCCTTTTTGTTTATTTTCCGTTTTCGTGATGATTCCTCCATAAGATATGGCCCGATTCAGTTCAAAGATACTATACTTCAAGATAACGCACCATGTTTTGTTTTGAGATTTGATAAAATTTGTCGAAATGGCGGCCATTTAGTTTAATATTCTAAAATCACAGTCTGTAACATGTTTGGAACTGTTTCTTGGAGATAAATATGGCGATGTTGTCGTGGATGCTTATCCACTTGTGTTTTTCTTCATTGATTCTATTTGTTGTTGTTTATTCAGATTTATCCATTCTTACTCGAAATTTAGTTGTATTATTAGATTATGTTTTGATTTATCTATTCGTCTTTATTTTGTTCAATTACAAGCAGTATTAGCTGAGATATAGCCAGTAGAAGTTATTACATGTCAAGATTTCACACTTTAATACATGTATCTCTATTATAAATTAACAGAGAGTCTAGTTACATAAGCCATTTAATAATAATCAATAGACAGCACGAACGCAATAGGAATCAGTTGCAAAGTCGACTTTAAGACCGGGGGGATTGGCACGAGAGGGCGCCATCCGATCTGAATGGAACGTTTCGACGTCAGTCGTCCGTAGCCCACCGTCAAAGCAACAACGTCCTGTTTACGAACAGATGAAATAATTTAAGCAATTTCTTTACAGAATAATCCTCAACAAAACTTAGAAACATTTCATAAACAAAAACAGGCTCCAAAATTATGTCTATTGCAAAACAATTCAACCGACAACCAGTTTGACGCCACAATTTCTTGCTGGAGCCCGAGTTCTACGCGTGATTTGATTGCGTTCAAAACTGTTCCATTTCAAACTGCGCATGCACACACACTGAGGTTTCTCGAAATGCATACTAATTAGGTAACTTGTCACTAATAAAAGTCACCGAAAACATTTTGCGCAATTTTGAGCAATAGTACTCAACAATTCAACAATAGTACTCAACTCAACAATTCTAACTAGATTCTGCAGTGCATTCTACTCAAGACTGTTAGCGACCTACCAGCAACATGTCTGACAACGAAGTTCAACACGTCGACGACGCCATAGAGATTGACATATCTTAACAGAAAAGAAACAGAACAACGGCGAGGAGGCAACTCACCACGATAATGAACCAGATAGAACCGCTGATCCGAGACTACGAACAACAAGAAAACAAAGAACTGGCTTTCCAACAAATTCAACGACTATACGATGTCTCAAAGATACGCATGGAACGACTGCTCGCTGCCGACGCCGAGATATTTAACGCAGTCCCACCCGAACACCCAGAATTTGACGAGACCGATCTATATGAGATCGAAGCTTCGACTCGTCATCTAGAAGTTTCTTACTTCCTAAAGAAGTTTACTACAACTAACACGGGAAATTCAAGAGACGATACCGCACAACAAGTAAGCCACCCTACACAAGTTGAATCAACGCAACAACCAACCAGATTCAAGTCCATACAACTGCCAAAACTTGAGATCCCTACGTTTCACGGAGATACTCTCCTCTGGAGTGAGTTTTACGACACGTACAACGCTGCCATTCATTCAGACAATCAGTTATCGAATGTGCAGAAATTTACCTATCTCCGCAGTTTTCTTGGAGGTGAAGCAAAGGGACTGATTGACGGGCTAGCCACTACTGACGTCAACTACACCACTGCCATGGACCTACTCGAAAAACGGTATGGCAGCAAACAACCTATCATCAATGCGTACATGACATCTCTATGGGAGCAAGTACCGCCAGAAAACAACCCGACCAGCTTACGGCGTTTTCACGACGAATTGGAAACAATATATCGGGGCTTGAAGAATCTCGGTGAAGACGAAACTAATTATGGGGAAATTACTCATACCACTCATGTTACAGACGTTGCCCATAGAATTCCAACGTCAGCTAGCTCGAGCCAACTCGGATCACGAATGGACATTGTCACGTCTAAGTCAACTAATGCTGAACGAAATACGTATTCTAGCAATTGGCGAAATGCCAAATCTTGACAGCCCGCAAAACTCGGCCGTTGCAGCATTCTCAACGGGGTACAGCCACAGGGGCCTGACGATCTATTCGTCTCAATGCATGGACGTGTATGGGACCGAACGACTATGTCCCGGTACAGGACCTTGTCCTTGCTCAAAATAATATAAATTATAGAATTAAAACAGTTTAGTAATGTAAAGCAAGCATATGTTATTAAATTTAATCATCACGCTAAATAGATTATGAAGTTTTTCTGGTAATATTTTGTCAGAGAATAGCTTTGATACAAAAACAGTATTATCAAATCTGATTTGCTATTGCCAGTTCCACTAAATAGATTAGTCAGAAAACTACCCCAAACTTCTGACCCATAAAGAATAACTGGTTTAATAATAGAATCAAACAGTTTACAGGCTAGACTCACTGAATGACATTCATTTGAATCCCAAAGCATTTTATACATTTTAAATGATGCTTTGTGAGCTTGTGTATATACATTTTCTATTTGCAGACTGTGCATGCTTGCTAATTAATTATAAATTGTGTATACCATTTCTTTCTCTCACAGTCTAACTTATTCAAAAATATCTCTAACTTGTAGTCTGTTCTAAATTTTGCATAATTTCTCAGTTTACTCTTTTCCATTTGCATGAATTTCTCTCTGTAAATTCACATATTTACTTTCCAAAGAGATTATTAAAATGTTATTGATTTGACTTTTTTGTTGTCTACTAAAAGACCTTACTTCAATGAAATTTAAGTTTTCTTGTAAAATTGATTATACATTAAATACTTTTTTTTGTTGTGTTTTTTTTTACCCATACCTTCATTAAGGAAAGGTGACCATCAAACCAATATTATTGCTAAATATGGAAAAAACATTGCAAATTGTTGATTCACACAATTTTGTAATCAGAGTTCAATAACCCTCAAGACACTGATTACCAGTTGTTGTGTAGTGTTAATCGAACAATAAGAATGTATTGTTTCAATATTGTAGAGTAGTGCATCACGTGATATGCAGGTCATTTAGTTTGAAGTACAGTTAAAGGAGGTTGCAGTGAGTTTCAAGGAGTGATTTGTAGTATGCATGTGAAGCAATTGGAACACTTCCACTTCTTTAATTTTAGTGAATATTGTAAAAAGTGTTTTGTTGTCGATTTTGGGTAAACAATGTTTTGTTGTTTTCTAATATAGATATTGTTGACGACATCATCAAATTTCTCATTCTGGTAAATATTCTTGTTATCTTAAAAACAGCTAGACTGGTTGATCAGATTTTCCTTTCACATGTTATGCATACTGCATCTCAAACAGCATACCGGTATAGCTATAATAACAGCCAACAGCTGCTGTTTATTCTAAACTCTTATTATTTTTAAATTATCATGCCCAAGTTCTGACTTATGCATAGATTTTTTTCCCACCTGCAAAAATATTTTTACAGCATTTTCCATATATCTCACATTATATGATGATAATAACATAAATAAGAATTTGGTCTTATATAATACACCATGTAATACTGTAAAATGAATAATTTTCACTGGGTTTAAATTTCACTGATTTAACATTTCAGGCATATTCAGTGGGTTTTAAATTCACAGTTTTATCATTTAGATAATGTGTTCTGTGCTCAATTTTACATATTCACTGGGCTTTAACTAGCGCATTTTCCAGTCAGCGAAATAAGCAAAATTAAAACCCATATAATAAAGGGTCCATCAAGTGCTCTACTACTAAAAAAAAATTATTAAAGAATTTAAAATAACCCTAATCAATGGGGACAATAATATGTGTCAACAACGGGAGCAGTCTATTACATATTATGTATATACAAACTTGCTACACTTACATGTATACCAAATATGGCATCAATATTTATTTCTTTGCATTCCCCATTTTGTGTTTTGTATACCCCAGTTGGTTGGTTTTATCGCCTTTTTAAATCTGGCTAGTACATGTATTTTATTTGGCTTATATACATTACTGCTCTATTATTTAGGAACTGTTATTCAATTCACGTTATATTATTCTATAAAGGACATTGAGATTAATACAGTACATATAATATTGAGGAACATGTTACGTAATATTTTTCTTGCCAAATTTTGCTTAGTTTGTGTTGATGTACTATTATTTTTTTAGAAACTTTTATACAATTCATGTTACCGGTATTTTTTAAGGGGCATTGGATTAAACTACATATAATATTGTGTAACATGTTGGCTAATATATTTTCTTACTAAATTTTTCTTAATTACAATGTATTATGTTGTGCTATGTTTAAGAACCATTATACAATTCATATTGTTTTATTCTAAAAGGGACATTGAAATTAATACATTGCATGTAGTATTATTTGAGAAACAAATATTTAATTATTTCTTTTTATATAATAATGATGACCTCATTGTTTGTTTTTGATCAGAATTGTTCTCATCTAAATTAAAGTCAGTATTTTTTGTGCAGAATGTTTGGATGTTTTTAATATTAGATTACATTGTTTGAGGACTTTTATACTCACTTTTGTCAAGAAACGATTTAGCATTCATCCATCATTTGTCATTTAATCTAAATAAAAACATATCGTAATTATTAAAACCATGTCCATTGAGAATCTAAATTAAATAACAAATGTATGGATGGATGGATACAAACTAAACAATGCAATATCTTTTCTTTAAAAGTGAGTCCTGAAACAATGCAATAAATAATATATCCAAACAGTTTACACAGACAATTTGGACCAAAAATGTCATCTTAATTAAATTATTAATCTCAATGTTCCTTATAGAGTAATATAACATGAATTGTATGACAGTTTCAGAAAAAAATACTAGTACAGCAACATATCTAGGCAAAATTTGACAAGAAAAATACTAGCTAAAGTGTTTCTCAATAATTATTACATATATTGTATTAATCTCAATTTCCTTCATAAAATAATACAACATGAATTGTTCCTAAATAATAGTGTAGTAATTTTGTAATAATGTGCCTGCTTGATCTATTTAATTATTACAGACAGGTTTTTGAAGATGCCAATTGAAGAGAAAAGAAAATTGTATGCATGTCGGAATGACTATGTTACCCTGGATCAAGTACCCACCTGGACGGAATATAAAAACAAACATATATCCAGAATAGAAAGAATAGTCAAGAAAGGTAAGATTACTTGGCTACAAACTTTAAAATATATGACATGAAAAATGTTGCAGATGTTGAATTTTAAATAAAGAAAGATTACATGTCCAAGATGGCCGGTGCGTTTCAAAACTATTAGGATTGAGAAAAGGTGTAAATACAACCTCCTGTGGTACCATACTTTATACTTAATATTACACCAGTTGTGTGGAATTGAATGTGTTAAGAGATCAGTATCACTATAAATAACTTAACTATTTATATCTTTTGCTAGAAAAACCTCTATTTTGTGTGAATGAAACTCTGAATGAGAAAGTGTCCATATGGAGAGGTGACATAACCACTTTAGAGATAGATGCCATTGGTAATGCAGCTAATTCAAGTTTAATGGGAGGTGGTGGAGGTAAGCTCTATATAGGAGGGCACACTTGTGCACTGACTTTTTGGCAACAAGTGAAATAAGTGGGTGTTTTTGTTTGTTTAAGATTGTTTTTAATTTTCTTTTGAGATGGTACAGAAACGGTTGAATGCAATAGACAAAAATATCATTAAAAATGGTGGTAATTAGAAAAATTCAAGAGTTTGAGATGTAGACTCCAATTTATGTAGCCTTAATTTTTCTTTGTTTACCATTATTTTGAATGTAAATTTTGTTAAATTTTTTACTTCTCCATTTTTTCTGGAGCAAAGCATTCAAATGCATATTTAGTTTATCTCTTAAGGTAGCGAGAAGGGAAATTTTCACTTTTTTCTTGATTTTTCAAAAATTGATAAAACGGTTACTTTAGACCTTGATACATCACTCCAGTAGACCACCAAAGGTCTTGAAATGTTCTGACAGTTCACAAATTAATGGTCCCTGGTTTTATTCTTATTATTGCAAAACAAGCATTGTTGGGATGCTTCCAATGCTCTCAATTACTGACCCATACACTACAAATTCATTCAGAAACAATTAATCTGGTCACATGACCAATGCTTAGCATATCCTATTTGATCGCGTATATCGTTTATGATCAGACTGTTTTTGCCCGTATTACTTTTATCTTAGGCATGAATAACATCTTCCCTAATTGCATTCGTGACTTGTCAGGGCTTGGAGCAATTTTGTTATTGTTCTGATTTTCTTTTTCCTGCGTTTTTCCTATCGAGCCGTTTGAGAAAACTGATGAACGAAATGGTCTGAAATTTGTCATACTGTTAGTCCCAGAAGTTTTTTATTGGTTTGACAGCCGTATTAGATTGAGATTAAACCGGAAGTGGCTTTTTGACAACTTTCTGAGGATCAAGACGATCAGATTTTTTTATGGCATACTAGTATAGTACAACTCATGTGTAATAGATATCTGCAATAAATTTTACAGGTCACATGACTCTTTCTGCCACTCACATTGATCTGAAATTTGGTTCATACATGTATGTGAAGCACATTTAATATTGAAATTTTGGATTTGTTCTAAACAGAAAGTAGTTTTTTGACTCCCGTGTGCGAAGCACAAAAAACGAGTCTTCGCAGTTAGTGTGTCTGTCTGTGTGTGTGTCTGTTCCACTGATACCTAAAGAACCATACATTGATTTTTAATGAAACTTGGTGCATAGATGCTCTGGGCTAATGCACAGATTTGATTAGGTTTTGGTAAAAATCCATGCATATTAATTACTTAATTTGCATGATAATTAGCTGATTTTTAGCTGTTCCATGACTGTTCCACTGAAATCGAAAGAACCACTCATTGGATTTTGATGAAACTTGGCACATAGATGCTCCAAACTAATGCGCAGATTTGATTAGTTTTGGGTAAAAATCTGTGCAATATTAATTACCTAATTTGCATAATGATTAATCAATTTTCGGCTTTTCCACTGTTATCTCAAGTACTAATCATCAAATTTCAATAAAACTTGGTACATGTACATAGATGTCATAGGACACTGCACAAACCTGATTGTTTTTGGGGTAATATCAGTACATATTAATTACCTAATTAGCTTAATTAATTAAATTTCAGCTTTTGATATTGCAAGTAGTAATCATCACATTTCAATAAACTTGGTACATAGATGTCATAGGACACTGCACAGACCTGATAGTTTTTAGGGTAATATGAGTACATATTAATTACCTAATTTGCATAATTAATTAATTTCCAGCTTTTGATATTTCAAGTAGTAATCTTCACATTTCAATGACACTTGGTACATAGATGTCATAGGACACTGCACAGATCTGATAGTTTTTAGGGTAATATCAGTACATATTAATTACCTAATTTGCATAATTAATTAATTTTCAGCTTTTGATATTTCAAGTAGTAATCATCACATTTCAATGACACTTGGTACATGTACATAGTTACTTAAGGACTGTGGGTAAATATTTGTGCATATTAATTATCTTATTAGCATAATTAGTTAATTTTCAGCTTTTTGCCTGATATTTCAAGTACTAATCATCATATTTCAATGAGACTTGCTACAGATCTCCTACGACTATGCAGAGACCTGATTAGTTTTAATTGGATATTAATTACCTAATTTGCATAATGTTCCACTGATATATAAAGAATTTTTAAAGAGAACTATGCAGAGACCCAATTAGTTTTTGGTAAATATTTATGCTTATTAATCACCTAATTAACATAATTAATTAACACTGATATCTCAATTACTGATCATCACATTTGAATAAAATTTGGTACATAAATGCTCTGGGACAATAGACAACCCTGATTAATTTTGGGTTAAAATTTGTTCATATTAATTCCCTAATTAGCATAATAATTCATAATTTTTTTGTTCTGTTCTGTTCATATCAGTTACCTGATTTACATAATTAGTTTTCAGCTTTGCCATCAATATCTCATGTACAAGTAATTTTGAATTAATTTTTAATGTGTCTTCAATACTCACAAGAGTTCTTTCTAAGCTTTCTTTGATTTATTAATGCCACAGTTACATGATTATTGTTAAAGTTGTGGCGTGTATCTCTACTGGGTATATTTAACTCTTTCAGACAGCGCAAAAAGAGTTCAGATCAGTCTCATGGTTTTGCTGCCATCTTAAATTTTTCTGCAAAAATGGCAAATATTTTGTGCATTTGTTTCTCATGAGTGCTGGTTTAACCAATCAGTTTGATACTCGGCATGTGGCATGGCTAAATGAAAAAATATTTATGAGTTATCTGGTTAAGTCCCCATTTTTGACAAAGTTAACAAAAGCTTGGCCATTTGTTTCTCATAAATGCTTCAACCTATCAACTTGATAATTTGTATATAACATGTATGGCCATAGCTTCTGATGAAGAGAATAACATACTTTTGATCACTAAATTAAATGTAGTTTGGCCGCCATCTTGGATTTCTCCACAAAATTACCACAGTTCAGGGCATTTGCTTCAACTGAACAATTTGAAATGCTGCATATGGTATGCACTTTATACAAGAGAAATGAAACAAATTTGATCAGTCACATGGTTACCAAAAATGTATAGTGTTTGTTTAAATGTAATATCTTTTATAATAACAGTACGAAATGATGGATTATTCACTGCACTGCAGTGCATTACAGACAACAACTTGTCACTAGTCTTCAAATACATACCATCTATATACTAGTACATGCTATCAGGTCTTACAATAACCTGCTACTGCTTGCACCCTGCTGATCATGATGCCGCTTCCTGCTTTAATTTTATTTATATTTTGAATAATTGTATATTTATTTTTTTAATTGCAGTTGATGGATGTATTCACAGATCTGCAGGACCTACTTTAAAAAAAGAGTGTGCAACTTTTAATGGATGCAAAACTGGAGATGCAAAAATAACATCAGGTAGCAAATAATTGCGCGTCGGTCGATACTCCTGCTAGATTGTTTTCATGCATACTTTGAGGTATTCTTGTAATAACCTTATTATTATACATCTTTTCCTTCAAGGATACATCATGGAAATGCTGAAATCCAAAAAGTTTAGAACAGAATTAAACCCTGATGGCGGCCATGTTTGTTTTTATTATTAGAGGACGCTCACACGCGTAATCATGCCATATTTGGAATTCGCATTCCCTTATACAGTAGGATGAAAATACCCCGTAAAATATCGCAAAATCGCGGCATGCTGTAACTTATGACATTACAGTGACAGATGTATAATAATAGTCATTACTCTTTATTTCTTTCTAATGAAAACTTTCTCATTAGTGTTTTGTTTCAATTACCAGAATTCCACTCTGACAACCACATTAGGACCACAGTTATTCTCCCCCTTCACTCTGACAACCACAATAATGAATCACAGTTATTCTCTTCTTCCACTCAGACAACCATATTAATCAACCACAGTTGTTAATTTTTAATTATGTTCACTTATTTGTTTTATTCTATATTTACAGGATATAAGTTGCCCGCTAAATGTAAGTATAACCCACATTTTCTGTTTTCCCCTGTATTACAGACAATGTAAGACGTATATGATGGGGAGACTATCTTTTCTCTTCACTTTAGCTGTTGTCATCACTGTCATTGTTATTGTTATTGTCATCACCATTATAGTCTATTTATTTATTTTCATCGTTTTTTCCATTCATTTTTGCTATCCTTGAAGACTTAGCAGGGGATGTGCTAATTTTTCCGAAGAAATTTTAGTTACATGTATACATCTATAAATTTGTGTTAGTTTACTTTCTACCACAATGGCACACTATAAAACCATGAACACACTGGTATTCAAAGACTAGTCACACTGTTAATGCTAAGAAAGGACACATGAGACTGCATTGCAATTTGAAGTTGGGGAATTGAGTGTCACGCTAGGCATTGTCATGTGTCACCTTATAGTAACCCTCAAAGCTGTTGAGTGTCATTGTGTGTTTGTGACACAGTGGCTCTGCATCGGGCATTGTAGCGGACAGGCGATCAAAATATATTTGACTCATGTCATGTTAAGGGCAATGTCGTACCCGACCCGCGCCAGCATTCTCTGTGCGGCAATTCCCCCAAATTAAATGAAAAGGTGCTGGTATTTGAAAAATTTATATAACGTGGCAAGGCATCGCATGTTGTAGAAATTGTCAAGACTGCAAGAGATAACAAAGCATGGTTAAAAGCAAGAATTACAATTCGGTAAAAGCTGCAAGTGAATAATGATTTAAGTGAATGATCTGGATGCAATATAGATTATGAGTGACTGGTAAATGTGAACAATTGACTACTACAAAGTGAAAGTGAAATCCAAGCAGGATCTTTTCAGCAAAAGCTTATGCAGGTTCAAACATTGGAATGAATGTTTTGATAGCATTGTTCAAAACCATTGCGAGTGCCAAGGTTGGTTGGTTTAGTTTTGAAGTTCATTGTGGTTGGTAAGGAATTCTGCATGAAACGTGGTGGCTGGTAGAGCTGGTAAAATTCACTACAGTAAAGGTCTTGATGAGCCAGTCGGGAAGGGGGACGGTCGATTCGTCCCAAATCACATTCGTCCCAAGTCGATTCGTCCCACAAGTCGATTCGTCTCAAGTCGATTCGTCCCACAAGTTAATTCGTCCCAAAGTCGATTCGCCCCACAAGTCGATCGATTCGTCAGATTTAAGGTTAGCCCACTACTAACTCACCAAATAAACACAAAAATCCAAACAACGAACTGTTCACGTACACGTCATGCACTGGCATGCATAATTGTTCGTTATGCCATTTTGTTTTTGCCGATGTTATAAACAAATACACCGCACACGCAACGTGGAGTTATTAGTTAGTAAATACAAATACACCGTACATGCAACGTACAAGTTATTAGTTAATAAATACAAACACACCTTACATGCAACGTAGAGTTATTAGTTAATAAATACAAATACATCGTACATGCAATGTAGAGTTATTAGTTAATAAATACAAATACATCGTACATGCAACGTACAAGTTATTAGTTAATAAATACAAATACACCGCACATGCAACGTAGAGTTATTAGTTAATAAATACAAATACACCGTACACGCAACGTACAAGTTATTAGTTAATAAATACAAATACACCGCACACGCAACGTAGAGTTATTAGTTAATAAATACAAATACACCGCACACGCAACGTAGAGTTATTAGTTAATAAATACAAATACATCGTACATGCAACGTACAAGTTAATAAATACAAATACACCGCAGACGCAACATAGAGTTATTAGTTAATAAATACAAATACACCGCACACGCAACGTAGAGTTATTAGTTAATAAATACAAATGCATCGTACATGCAACGTACAAGTTATTAGTTAATAAAATACACCTTACATGCAACGTAGAGTTATTAGTTAATAAATACAAATACATCGTACATGCAACGTACAAGTTATTAGTTAATAAATACAAATACACCGCAGACGCAACGTAGAGTTATTAGTTAATAAATACAAATACACCGTACACGCAACGTGGAGTTATTAGTTAGCGTGTCAGTAACAGTTGGCATAGAAATTGACCCTGCTCAAGATCGTAACGCTGACCGAAAATTAAAAAAAATGGACGAATGTGAATTGGGACGAATGTGAAATGGGACGAATGTGAATTGGGACGAATCGACTTGTGGGACGAATGTGAATTGGGACGAATCGACGAATGTGTTGGGACGAATATGAATTGGGATGAATTGACTGTGAATCGTCGGGAAAGCTGGCCACTGCGTTTGTTGTGGCAGCTCCAGAGCGAAAACTGTGTATAAGGAGGGTTCTGATCGGGTCTGTGATAATTTGGCTTGTGGGATATGAGCCATCGATAAATGGGAACGCTGGTGCATGCTGAGAGAATGTGGTACTTGCCTCAGTGTATTTACTGCATGCTCTCACTGCACAAATTGAGGAGCCAGATGTCAGTTTGTGGCCACGTCAAAATGGGTCGTTCTTGGCTACCTTTATGTTGAGAATGATTGTACTACCAAGGTTGACGTTGGATCGGAGTAGAATGCGTTCGCAAGGCAAACTTGCTTACTCGTAGAAACCAAAAAAAAATGTTATGGTGAATGCAGCTCATAACATCAATATATCTGTAGTGCCAATATTGACTAAACAGCATATCATAACTAGTTTAATTGAATGGTTATGGGTATTTGTGTAGCTGTAGGGTCGCAATTTGTTTCTTGATGTCCTGGCGCAGGAGATGATCTTCTGTGTGCTGTCATAGGATGGCACTGAGATATACATTGTTTGTTTCATACGCCAGTGACAGCGATGCTAGGTGCGTGACAAAGAGGATGGCAGAGCAGCGTGTGAATGGTAGCAGAGCAAGACCGTAGGTGTGACAGTAGACTGTCAACAGTCCTCGCCTAATGTACTTGTGTTTCCTAGACATTCAAACGCCATAGACGTTTGATTGGAAATGCAAAACATTTCACGGATCGGGTAAGAAATCTTACCAGTGAATTGCAGCACTGGACAGTCGGACATGCCTAACAGCACTCCATATTTCCTGTCTCGGTGTTCGCAATTTATTCACGCCTATTACGTTTATACACAATATTTCTTAGTAATAACAAATTAATATTAGGTACGATTGACTGTCGACAGTCTAATGTGACAGATATTGTAATATCACGTCTGCCTTGACTGATATGTGTGAAGTGTTGTGGTAGCAATGCTGTTAGTGATGTAGAAGGATGGTTGATTTTCCAACGCTTTCGTTGCACCACCATGTAATGTCCAGCCTGAAATCGTCTGACAGGTTTATGATTTAAGTGAGTTGTGGATAGGTCAATCATGTGTCCGAGCAAGATGTGATCAGCGGGAACACATTTGTATGCAAAACTCAGGGTGCCAGTGAGGCAGCTGTCACTTGGTACATGACTGTCTGTTGAGCCACTTTTGTAGCATTGTGGTGAGATCTGCCATTTTTTCGCTTGGCAGTCATATGACCATGGAGTTGCTGTCAAGTTCAATGCTTAGAAATGTCAGTGTTGTAGCTAGGCTCTTGATTTACTCTTTTGAAATGGGTACAACCAGGTGGGTGCATTTGTTGAGCATGATGTCCTGGATGTGCTGGCACTTGTTGATGTTAGGTGGGCCCACTGTGAAGAAATTGTGAAATTAATGTAGTAGGTGGCAATTCAGTTAGTGTTGAACGTAGACCAAAAGGCAATACTCTATCAAAGAAGTAGAAGCCCTGCTACTTTTAACAGAGGAGTCTTATTTTCTAATGGAGCACACAAAAAATGAATGCCTTTTGTAAACAGGGACCATGCTTTATGTAGATTGCTACTGTTGTTGAAACTATTTACACTATTGCTAGTTGGGTGTGACAAGTCATTGATAAGACATATCCCCTATTCTTTTTTATGTGGACCTTATTTTGTGAATGGTGGTGCTCGAAGGTGCTGATGGCATTTACTAACTTGACTTTATTCATAATTGCTTCGGTTATAACTGATGGATTGGAGCCTGCACTTTTTGCCTTGTGAGTGTAAAGTTGGTGATGGTGATGATAGGACTTGCCTTAGGTGCTGCAGATATGTTGATGACTGTGTGGGCATATTGTTGTGCATAATTCCCAATTGAGTGCTGGTCTTCTAGTGATGGACATCCTTGTCTACTGTCAATAAATGGGTCAGGTATGCTCCAATTGCAGACATTGGGGTAGCGGGATACGTCTTCACGAAAAGCCATACTTCGGGTTTATAGATGTCAGATTTTTCGCCATTGAATCTGATAATTGATGAGGCGGACTGCTTTTTGCAGAAAATAGAAGGCAAGATTCAAATGATCCAAATTCTGACACCCATCTGCCTAGCGTATTAACGGATTTTGCTCTGAAAGGCAACTGTAGCAACAGACAGGTTGTCTGGGTCTAATCTGAAACGTGTAAAAATCGATGGGGCGAAGTTTGGGTGTTGGTTGTCAGATGCAGGTTGGAAAGTGGAAGTGAATGGCAGTGAATGGTTGAGTAATGGTAGTGAGGTTGTTTATCGTTGTCACTATATATTGTGGTTTGCCCTGTCATCTGTATCTCTAATACACCAATTTGGTACAAAGTTTAGATTACCTCTTCAGTTAATTGCTTTGAGCTTATCATATGAGTGATTGTCTGTCGACTTCTTCTTGAAAACTACCAGCCTGAATGCTTTGATACTTGATGTATATGTACCTTGGGTAGGCCTCTCTTAAATTTGTTCATTTCATGATGATATCTTCAAATCTCTAATTTTGGTGAATATTTTTGTCATTTTTGGTAAAAAGTGATATTTTCGACTTCTTGTTTAAAAAGCAAGTCTGATTGCTTTGAAATTACATATAGGTACTACATGTGGACCTCTCTCAGATTTGTTCATTTTGTGATGATATCATTCATCCTCTAATTTTGGTGAATATTTTTGTCATTTTTGGTAAAAAGTGATATTTTCAACTTCTTCTTAAAAACTGCAAGTTTGATTGCTTTGATATTACATATATAGGTACTACATGTGGACCTCTCTCAGATGTGTTCATTTCCTGATTATATCTTCAATTATCTAACTTTAATAAATTAATTTTGTGATTTTTGGTAAAGAGTGATATTTTCAAATTCTTGTCGAAAACATCAAGTCCGATTGCTTTGATACTATACATATTGTTCCTTTTCTAATGATATCTTCAGTTCTTTAATTGAAATGTGCATTGCTAACAGAGAAGCTATCTCAGCCGACAGGCTGCTTGTTGATGAAATTACCAATGAAGATCATTTTAAGCATGTGAATATGTAATCACTAATCTCAGCATTGATTATTTTATGTAGATGTTATACATACTGTTGGTCCTATGGGTGAGGACGAAAATAAACTGGAAAGTTGTTATAAAACAAGTTTAAACATTTTGAAAAAACACTCATTAAGAACTCTTGCAATGCCTTGTGTATCTACAGGAATTTATGGTAGGTGTAAATTACCTATTTATATACTCGGTATGATCTAGAGCAATACATACATGTTCATAGTGTATACTTTGCAGATAAAATTTATATATAACCACACTATAATGATCTGGTGTATTATGATGTATTATCAACATGCATAGAAGGCTATGCAATTATTTGTCATTCTGAGACATGCCTCGACCGATCACATTCAAACTTCATACACACATCATATATCTTTGTCGTAAATGGTTGGATTTTGTTCTAACTTGATACATACATTGGACAATATGGGACCTTGATGCACATCATTTTGTTTTTCAGATCAGATTCATTTCTGCCATTACAAAACCAGATCTTTGGTACATTATTTTGTTTTTGAGTTCACATTTCAAATGGTGGCCATTTTGTTTGAATGAATGCTGTTTTAGGACCACATCTCTGACATGTCTTGATCATGTTCTAACTTTATATATATCATACATATTAATTTGTTCAATAATCCGATTCTAGATGGCCAAATGGTGGTCATTTTAATGTTAAAAATGCATCAATATTAAATTTCAGTTAATCATAGACAGCTATTGTCCATCTTGGTACATACATCGAACATATATATGTTTTTACTTGATTGTATTTCATACAGCCAAATGCAAGCAGTGTTTTATACCCATGCCTCGGACATACATGTACATTGACTAATCACAATCACACTTACATTATACAATGTATTATTGAAAATCAGAACTACGTCATGTCATTTGTTCTGATTCAAAATGACTGCTTCATTTAAATTGTATTTACTATCCATCCAATAGTGACTCATGATATGACTTGTATAATATACTGATTTTTTTAAATATTTCAGGTTATCCAAATGATAAAGCAGGGTCAGTAGTTTTAGCCACTGTTAGGAATTGGTTAGATGTCCATGGTGATTCGGTAAGAATTAATACTTTATATCATTTAGCCATAACCAGCAACAGTATGTGTAGATTTTACCCCACTATAGAAATGTTATTTATCGTTGTATGAATATTGGTATAGCTATCGCCATAGAACTGGAAAATAGACAGATAGTCAGACAGGGATATTATTACATGGAGTATTACATGAATATTGGTATAGGTATCGCCATAGAACTGGAAAATAGACAGATAGTCAGGCAGGAATATTATTACATGGAGTATTACATGAATATTGGTATAGGTATCGCCATAGAACTGGAAAATAGACAGATAGTCAGACAGGGATATTATTACATGGAGTATTACATGAATATTGGTATAGGTATCGCCATAGAACTGGAAAATAGACAGATAGTCAGGCAGGGATATTATTACATGGAGTATTACATGAATATTGGTATAGCTTTTCAAACAAGATTTAAAAATTGAAAATTACCTAATTAATATGCAGAACCATGGTCTTAGAAGGTTAATTGCAAAATTCAGGACAAGCAACCATGACCTTAAAATTGAGAAAGGCAGACATAATAATGTGCCGCTGGATAAAAGAACATGTGATATGTGCAGCCAAAATATAGTTGAGGATGAGCAACATTTTGTAATGAAATGTCCAGCTTACAGTCACCATAGGGACAAATTATTCCTGACTGCACAAAATAAAATTCCAAATTTTGATAAAGAAAATAGTCAGAATAAATTCATTTTGATTATGGCAAACCATACTCTAGCACCAGCCTTAGCTGTCTTCTTAAAAAACAGCTATGGAACAAAACAGCAACAACTATCAGTGTATTAGGCCACATTTTGTGTTCATTCTATATTCTGTATTCACCATTGGCTGCAAATTGTATTTTTTTGTTTTTGACTTGTTTTTTTTTTTTTTTTTTAGAAAA